TATAATGACCACTCACGTACTCACCGCTACTTCAAAAACCATCCCCATGTGACCACCCCCAAATTATTTCAGAGCAAATTCTAAACCTGTAATTGCACCTGTAAATATTCCAGCATGTATCTCTAAAATAGAGAAGCCTTTGGCTTTAACATACCACAATACTGTTATAACTAAAATAATTGATAATAATGTCTTATTCAATTAGTACTCATATTTACCTGCTTTTCCCTGTCTTTTTACAATTGGTTTGTTCAAATAAGTGTGCAAATCCCAGCATCACATGTACCGGATATGTCTCTTAAAGCTCTTTTATTCTAGAACAATCTCCTCCCCCCCTCCTTTTTTTTATTGAAGAAACCGGAAGTCATCTCTGTAAAATCTTCTACCCTCTGGATTTGTAAGATGCATGGCTGTGTGAGTGCTCACCTTTCCCCCTGAATTTCCTACAAACTGATAGAAGCTTAATTAAACTCAGGTTCAGGGTTCTCAGAACAAAATCTTTCACAGGCAGTTCCCATTGCATCACAATAGGAGAGGTCTCGTGTCTGCACATCTTTAAAAAGTGAACCTCCACCCTTCTAATATTTGTATTCTTTTTTTTTAAAGATTTATGTATGCATACAAGAACTGGGGTACAGGCAAGAGGTGCAGGGGGTGAGATGATTCACCAGAGACAGAGCGGGGAGCAAAATAGGCAGATCTACTGAAATACACTGCTGAGGGGAGCCACGGGCGAGACAGGAGAGGTTTGCTGCAACATGTGTGTCAACTCCCTGGACGGGAATCGAACATATGCTGCAGAGGCTGTGGATTGCTTCATAGTGCTACAACTTAATTCCTTATGCCACCAGGGAGACCCCTAATGTTTGTATTCTTATTTCTCAGTCTGCATCCACCTCCAGGGCATGATTCACCTCAATCTGGGCCCTCTCAGGGGACTGTTCCTCATCTCTCCCATTAAAGCCCAGGAAGTGTGGCGGCCGAGGTGCATGTGTAGCCTCCCCCTGAACCAGAAGTCAGCTTTGAGTTTCTCCCACTCCTCAATCCAAGGCACACTCCTGGCTTCAGTCTGCTCAAAGTTCTTTGGTTTTGATGGTCCTCTTTCATCCGGGTGGCACTCTTCTAAGCTCCTCCCTTCCTAGAAGACCCTCTTAAATGGGTTTGACGTGTCCTTGAAAATATATGCATCCTTGAAAATTATTAGAGCTATGGAGAGGAGTGGAGAGGAGATGTTGATTTTATCTCTCTATTGTGTGCTTGAGTATCCTGCTTACTTTTTTTTTAAGCATAGAAGAACTGGGGTGTAGGCCAGAGGTTTGAGGGAGTGAGAGGATTCACCAGAGTGTGAGCAGAGGAGGCGGATTTTGCTAAAATGCACTGCTAAGGGGAGCAGTGGGCGAGACAGGTGAGGTCTGCTGTGCCAAATGGGTTAGCTCCCTGGCCAGGGATTGAACTCAGGCCTTAGCAGTGATAGCACTGAGATTTAACCCCTAAGCCACTAGGGAGGCTTTTCATTCAATGCTGTGTGTATGTGTACTTCTTTTTTTCTGGGCATTCCACTTCAGTTGCTCTTTTTCTCCATCTTTATGAGGCACAACTAACAAAAACCTGTCTATACTTTAGATCTTAAAACATGATTTTTAAGGCATACAACATTGAGGGTATAATATACATATACACTGTGAAGTGATTACCACAATCAATTAATTAGCACTTCCATCACCTCACATAGTTACCATCTGCCTGTGTGGTGAGAACACTTAAGAGCTAATTCTCTTAGCACATTTCAAGTATACTATACAGTGTTATTAACTATAATCACGGTGCTGTACATTCAATCTCCATAACTTACTTGCCTTATAGCTTAAACTTTGTACCTTTTTGAACAACTTCCCCCATTTCTCCCACAGGCCCTAACCCTTGGCAACTGCCATTCTACTCTGATTCTGAGTTTTACTTTTTTAGATTCCTCCTAAGTGAGATACAGTATTTGTTTTTCTGTCTGACTTATTTCATTTCGCATAATGTCCTTCAGATTCATTGATGTAGTCACAAATAGCAAGATTTCCTTTTTTATGACTGAATAATATTCTGTTGGATATATAGATACATAGGACACATTTTCTTTATCCAATCATCCATGAATGGACTCTTAGGTTGTTTCTAGGTCTTAGCTGTGTGAATAATGCTGCAGTGAACATGAGGGTGCAAGTACCTCTTGAAATACTGATTTCATGCCCCCGGATATACCCAGAAGAAGAATTGCTGAATCATATGTAAGTTCTGGTTTAATTTGTCAAGAACACTCCATGCTGGGCCTCCTTGGTGGCACAGGAGTTGAAGTCTCAGTGCTATTAAGCTATCGCCAGACACTGAGGCGTGAGTTTGATCCACATGGCACAGCAGACCTCTCCTGTCTTACCCACTGCTCCCCTAAGCAGTGTATTTCAGTCTGTCTGCCTGTTCTGCTCCCCACTCTGTCTCTGGTGGATCCTCTCAACCCCCACCCCCACATCTCTGGCCTGTACCCCAGCTCTTGTATGCATAACTAAATCAATCTTAAAATTAAAAAAAAAGAATCTATGTGTTGAGAATAGTAGAAGAACAAAATAGAAGCAGCTGAAGTCCTAAGAGACTCTATCATAGATCTTGAACTTTTGCCAACTGTTTATCCTGAATTATGTCATTTTTCTTTTGTACTCCATTAATCCAGTCTTCTTTACTCCCTAAGTATATTTTATTAATACATTTTTCTGATGCTAATCCAGCTTTGAATTCTTGGCATACAGACTACTTGAATGTGTTATCTTTTTTTCACGATTTATTTATTTATGCATAGAAGAGTTGGGGAACAGGCAAGAGGTGCAGGGGTGAGAGGATTCACCAGAGACAGAGTGGGGAGCAGAACAGGCAGATCTACTGAAATACACTGCTGAGGGGAGAAGGGGGCAAGACAGGAATGGTCTGCTGCGCACTGTGTGTCACCTCCCTAGCCTGGGATCGAACTTATGCTGTAGTGGCTTCATAGTGCCAACACTTAACCCCTTGCGCCACCAGGAAGGTCCATTATCTTTTTTAATATACCATTTGATTGGGCTATAACTCCTGTAAGTCCTAATATTTTATATAGGATTTTTACATGTCTGGTCATTATAGTGAATATTCTCTATTTGAAATTTATTTTGAAAAAGAAATTTGTGGAGGGTGCGGAGCTGTGAAGCTGTCCACAGCCTCTGCAGTGTGGCTTTGATTCCTGGCCCACCAGGGAGATACCCACATGGTGAATCCTCTCACCCTCCTGCCCCTCTGGCCTGTACCCCAGCAATTGTATAAATAAAAAATAAATCTTAAAAAAAGAAAAAAAAAAGAAATTTGTGGGGCCAACTGGTGACGCAAGGGGTTAAGTCAACACTATCAAGCTATGGGCAGCTGCTGCAGCAGGAGTTCGATCCCTGGCCAGGGAGATGACCCACATGGCGCAGCAGACCTCTCCTGTCTCACCTGCTGCTCCCCTCAGCAGTGTATTTCAGTAGATCTGCCTGTTCTGCTCCCCACTCTGTCTCTGGTGAATCCTCTCACCCTCTGCACCTCTGGCCTGTTCCCCAGCTCTTGTATGCATAAATAAATAAATATTTGAAAAGAAATAAATAAAAAGAAATTTGTTAAACTTACTTTATACCCAGTATTTGCTCAATTTTTCAAAAAAGTATCCCAATATACTTGAAAGGAACCAATAAGTACAATGTACTAAATACACCTATTAGATGGTAATGGTTCCGTTTGGGCTTCAAAATATGTACCTCTAGTTTGTTTTTGTTTGTTTGTTTTTGTCTGCTCTATCTACAAATTAGTCAGAGAGATGTATTATATTACAATCTTTCACTATGAATATAAATTTGTCTGTTTTTTTCTTTTCACTTTATATATTTTGTGACCTTGTTGGTCAGTGAACATATATTTAACACTAATGTAGCTTCCTGTTGCATTAAACCTTTTACTCATTAGGAAGCTACTCTCTTTATCTCTAGTAATACTTTTTGTTATAAAATATACTTTAGGGCTTCCCTTGTGGCACAAGAGGTTAAGAGGCAGCCTATGAAGCTATCTTCAGCCACTGCAGCACAAGTTCGATCCCCAGCCAGGGAGCTACCCACAAGGTGCAGCAGACCTCTCCTGACTCACCCACTGCTTCCCTCAGCAGTGTGTTTCAGTTGATCCACCTGTTCTGTTCCCCACTCTGTCTCTGGTGAATCCCCACCCCAACACCTCTGGCCTGTACCCTTGTTCTTGTATCCATAAATAAATAAATATTTTAAATATATACATATATATACTTTATATGGTGATTATTTTGGCTAAAATTTGTCTAACATATCTTTTTCATACTTTTATTCTCAACCTCTGTTTTAGATGGATCGCTTGAACATATAGTTGAACTTTATTTTTTATTCTGTCTGGAAGTTTTTTTCTTTTTTTTTAATAGCAAACTTTTTTTTTTTAAAGATTTATTTATTTATTTATTTATTTATACAAGCACTGGGTACAGTCAGAAGCGCGGGAGGGTGAGAGAATTCACCAGAGCCAGAGCGGGGAGTAGAACAGGCAGAATGACGAAGTACACTGCTGAGGGGAGCAGTGCGCCTGGCAGGAGAGGTCTGCGCGCCATGTGGGACCCTCGCCTGGCGGCCTGGGGAGCGAACCGGCGCTGCAGAGGCTGCGGGCAGCCTCGCAGTCCAGCGCTCAACCGCTGCTGCGCCACCAGGAAAGGCACGAAAATTGTTTTAAAACAACCCACAATCTCAGAATAAAGTGCTCTCCTTTCCTAAATCATTTGACTTTTTCAGTTTGATTCTCTATTGAACTCAAAGTTATCTACAAAGATGTTAAGAAATTTATATACTAGTAAATCTTGTGTTCATGCTGCTGCTGCTGCTTTTTTTTTTTCCTGCCCCAGACACAGACCCGGATGAAGCCCCACAGGGTCTCCCACCCACACCCCGAAGCAATTGCTTGGCCTGTCAGATGGAAAAGTGTTCAACTGCGCTTTCAACACAGCAGTGCAGCGATTCCAGAGCCTGTTATTATGTGGATTATTGCTTTTTTTTAAAAGTCTTATTTATGGACTAATAATTTGTCACTTTTTGTGGGTAAGCCCATAAGTGTCTATAAGGCCTGTTTGTCCTATCAACTCCCACCCTGGATTGTGAACTGTTTAATTGGAGCTTCTCTTCCATGGTACTGATTTTCTTTTTTGTTTGGTGATCCTCGCTCCTTGCTTGTGGGCTGATCTTTGCATCTATCTTGGAGCTACCTGTCTGTGGACACTGCTTCTATTCACCAGAAGACATGCAACAGTCACCCACAAGTAGCATTCAAACCCTCGGGGTAGGATGTGTTGCACTCAACACATCAGGGTAGTTCTGTTCCTGGGGAGACTGGTGCAGTTAGAATAGTCCCCAGGGGGGCCTCCCCAGCGGCCCAGTGGTTGAGCACTGGGTTGCAAAGCTGCCCGCAGCCTCTGCAGCGCCGGTTCGATCCCCGGCTGCTCCCGGGCCACTGGAGGAGGGTCCCACATGGCGCGCAGACCTCTCCTGCCGCCCGCTGCTCCCCTCAGCAGTGTACTTCGGTCCTTCTGCCTGCTCTGCTCCCCGCTCTGGCTCTGGTGAATTCTCTTACCCTCCCACGCTTCTGACTATACCCAGTGCTTGCATAAATAAATAAATAAATAAATCTTTAAAAAAAAAAAAAAAAAAAGAATAGTCCCCAGGGACAATACTGTTTTACAGTCAAAACTCAGAGAGCAAAATAACTTGCCCTGACATATCTGTGAGTTACAAAGCCAGATTCCTAACCCAGGCTATCTGGGTTCTGAACATGCCCTGCTGCCTGCCCAAGCCTTCCTAGTGCCAGCCTGTCCACTCCCGATTCATACTCCCCAGTAACCAGACAACTCATAGAATGTTTAGTATTTTTCTCTTCTTTTGACTCTTAAAAAAAAATGACAATAATAACCTGCAAACTGCAGAAAATGGCATGGGTTTCAATCTCCTGGCCCTCCAAACATCATTCTACATTCCTCAGACACCATCCTCTCCTCTGCCCTTAAGATCCTAGAGGAAAATCCCGAGAAAGAAGAGATCCCCCCCAAATAGGAAGATTTCCAAGCTCGGCCCCTTTAGCAGGTGAAGCATTGAGGAAATAAATTAAGGGGAGAAGAGGCTCCTAGCTGGTGCTGTCCAGCCCTGTCTCACAGACCCAGCGGTAGGGCCTCTGGCAGAAGTCATCGTTCCAGCGGCCATCATCTGTGAAATGGGCACAGTCCTCACCTCCTCCTAGTCCATGCCCATGCCAGTCATCAGGCTGGTCTGGTCTCCAGTTCCTACAAAGACCAGATGGACGTGGACCCCAGGAGCCCCCTTGGGCCCTGGAGCCAGTCAGACTGGGACAGCGGGGCCCAGGAGGAGGGGCAGGGCTGCGGGGTGGCACACACTCACTTGAAACCCTTCTCGTAGTCCGACCCATCTACCCATCTCCAAGGCCCATTTTGGTCAGTGAGACCAATCCAAGTGTTCACAGGACCCGTGTGGTGCTGGACAAATTTCTGGTGAGAAAGGGAGGGGATGTTGGTGACCTCTCTTTAGACCAGTCAGCCTCCCAGAGGAGCCCCGGTGCCTTCACCTGCTCCTCCATGGAGCCGATCACCACCAGGTGGGCGTTCTCCAGCCGGCAGTAGTTGTCAGCCTCGGGCCAGGCCTTCCCAGAGCGAGAGAACCAGTAGCAGCTGCCTTCATACTCCACCCAGTTCACTGGGCAGCAGGCCTTTTCAGAGCCTGAGTGGGCAGAGAGAGGGAGTGGGGGCTGAGGCACTGGTGAGAGAGGAAAGGGGGCAGGAAAGCAGGACAGGAACACCCGCCTCTCACCATTGCCCTGGAGGACTGCCATCTGACAGCTCAGGCCTCGCAGGTCAAACAAAAACTGTTTCACGTGGAGCAGCAAGGAAGCGTGATCTGGGGAGACCCAGGCAGGAAGAGGAGAGGAGAAGGAGTCAGTACAAACATGGGGGTTGGGAAGGTCTCTCTCTGCTGATCCCAAGATCAGTCACAGCTGCCCCTCTTTCAACTGAGACCCTTGGTTTGGCCTGAGGGGCCCGATGCCCTGCACAGGCCCTCAATGCTTCTCTGACCTTCTTTCAGGTCGTGCTGCTGTCTCTCCACCTGGGACTCCAGGGATTTCATCTTTCTGCCCACATTTTCTCCTAGGAGAGAAACGTGCTCAGTATCCCCACATCCCTGCCCTCCACAGACTCTCAGCCCCCCAGCCCCAGCCTCCCGCACCCTGAACGTTCAGGTCCTTGACTTTGACCTCCGTGGTCTCTGTGAAGTTGCTGATCGTCTCCCTCAGAACCTCCATCTCCTCCTTCAGCTTGGAGTCTGCATGGGACAGAGTGAACATGGGATAAAATAAGGTGAGGGGGTGTCCACCACCACAGCAGCCAGCACTCCCCAAACCCACTCCTCACCAACCCCCTAACACTACTCCCTTCCCAGCGCACCCCACCCCAGGGCACCCACTTTGGGCTCCAATCACACAGACAACCACCAGCAGCAGGACACTGAGGCCCAGGGAGAGCAGGAGGAGGCGGGGTCCGGAGCAGAGACGCCGAAGCAGCGGCTGGGGAGGAGCCGGCACTGCAAAAGGAGAGGGTGCGGGGCTCAGGGACTCTGGGGTCTGAGGAGGGAAGGATGCTGAGGCTGCACTAGTAACCCAGAAGCATTTAGATTAAGAAATTTGTGTAGTGAGTGACCTTGAGGGTCACTGGAGGGTGAAAGGAGAGAAGGTTAGGAAGGGGTGAGAGGCTTTGACCTGCCCTGGCCCTACCCAAGCCCTAAGCCTTTGTTGACACCTAGTGGCCTGGCCAGGTCACTACAGCTGATGAACTGAGCCTTGGGGATGGAGTTTAAGGCTGTGACTTGGGGAGTGGGCAGCCAGCTAGGGGGTCATGTCCCCACCCCACTCCACGGCAAAGCACTGAGAAGGAGGCTTCTTTCTCTCTCCATGAATCCCACTCTGCTCTGGGTGTAGGGAGAGACGGCAGGGTCCCAGACGTCAGGTCTCTTGGTTACTCCCAGCCTGGGAGTCCTGTCCCCTGTGAACTAGAGTATGGGCCTTCTCCCTTCTCCCCTTTCCTGAGGCGCCTTCCACCATCAAAGCACATGTCCACTGCCATGCCCCAAGAACTTCAGAATTCTTGCTCAACCAACCAACATCTTTGCTCCCGTGGGGGCGGGGCGGTTTGAGATAGTAGAGCGTCCCTCAGATCAGAAGGCCCTTTGCCTCTGCATACAAACCTTACCCCCTTGAGCAAATGGATCACGCACACACACAAACACACACACACACACACACACGCAAAGCCAAAAGTCTTAGCTGGTGTTGGAAGAGGGAAAGAGAGGGAGCCTAATGTCATCCGGTTACTCACACCCCCTCCCCAGGGTCCTGAGAAGCAGGTATCATGGTGAGGGTCACAAGGCACATGGAAGTCATGGGTATCCATCATCAAGAAAAGGAAGCCAGCCCCACACCCTCACCTCTCCTAAGGCTGGCAGCTCAGGCCGCACATTCTGTGAGTGGAACAGACCCAGAGAGCGCACCTGAGTCACAGAAGCAGGAGCTGAGACAAGGAGGCTGTCTCCAAGTGCTCACCTTTCAGAAGTGGGGGGCGGCATCCCCTCACCTTTTCTGAGCTGATGGTCATTGTCCTCGTCCAGATGCTGAAGATCTTGGTACTCCTTTGTCATGGTGGGGCAGCGGGCTGGACCTGTGGCTAAGTCAAGGCTGGGGCTGGATGGAGCTGGATTGTGGGGTCTACTCCCTTTCTAAGCGATTATCAAGGTACATGGAGACCTTTCTTCTTTCCCCCTTTCCCTCCCAGGCCTGGCATCCAAAATTCATCCACTGAAGTTTGCCCACCCAGCCCCCACCACTCCTGACACGAGGTCTCCTCCAGGCCCTCCCTCCCCCCCCACCTCCCCAGTCACTCCCCCTGCCTTTCTTCCCCTTTTACTTGCTGAAACTCTTGAAGTTGACTCCTGGGTCCCTAAATGCTGTGCAGATCTCAGGCTAAGGAGAGGACTGAAGCCTGGAGAATTTAGGGTGTGTGGACAGCCCTAGATAGCTGAGCAGGTCAGACCTGGCATCTCTAGTGCCAGGACTTTGGACGGTAAACAGAGGTGAAAATGGATTTGGACCTCAGAGGGTGTGTGGGGGTGGAACCAGGGGATGGGTTGTCTTTGCTTTCCTCCCTGAGAGGGGAACTCCTTTGGTCTGTCCTCCCACACCCCCCACAGGTTGGTCACCTCACTCACTCCACACTGCCCAGTTTGGGAGGGGGTGCTGAGCCAGGAGGGGCCAGGGGTGTAGTTTGCTGTTCCCCTTCTGTCCCTCCCCCATTTACTTCCGGCCTCTAAATTTCCCAGAATTGTAGGTGTCTCCAATTATCTTGGCCAGGATCAGAGGGACACAATCTCTGTTCTTACCCAATGCAGGCCTGTAACCCTGGCATCTGAGTAAGGCCCCAGTTTCGTACAGTCCCGATTGCCAAGCTGCTTGGTTGAGGCTGACTGGCTTCACTCTCCTGGAGAGTCCAGAGCTCAGGCAGCATGAGAGCAGGGAGGAGGCAGGAGAGCAGCTTTCCCACCTCCACTGGGAATGGTGTCTACAATCCTCCTGACTCCTGCTATGTGCTGGAGCTTTGCCTTCACTAACCCCTCTTATTACCATTACAGGAAACCCAATTTGCAGAGGAGGAAACTGAGGCCTCCACAGAGGTCACCATTCACCCAGTGTCATACCAAAAGGAAGCAGCAGAGAGAGGACTGGAATTTGGGTAGTTCTGACTCCAGGACCTGAGGGCTGGCCCTGAAACCACACCCAGGATGGGGATACCATTTCATGGCTAGGCCAGGACCCCAGTGATGCCCCCCACAGGGGACTCAGAAGGGGTTGTGCTCAGAGAGGAGTAATTACGCTAAGGTAGAAATTGGGCAGTGTTGGATATTAATGTTTCCCTTTTGTTACCAAAGGTGAAGTCCTGCAGTTATTTCCATGAGAAAACTAAAATTGAATTGTGAGAGTTTTATATTGTGAGATATTTAAAAGTATGTTCCTTGCTAAAATTGGAAAGCCCTATGTACCCCCTCATTTGTCTCTTGAAAACACCCCCCCATACTCCCCCTTCCCATTGTTTGCATGCACTGGGACTGTGGCTAGTCGTTTGGTGGCTGCTGCACTGTTAAAGTAGCATTCACTGATATTATCTCTTATAATCTGGCTTACTCAGGCAGGTCGGACTAATGGTTTCACTTGAGAAGTACTGGCTAGAAAGAACCTCAGGAGGGCCGGTGTTGGAAGATGCTGGTTGCATGGGTATGATCAGTGTGAAACTGTGCAAGTTGCACACTTAGGATCTGGACATTCTTCTGTTTGCATGTTATACTGGAATACTGTTCTTGCAAGCTGGTTTCTACCCTATGACCACATTCCCTAAACTCATTGGTTAGGAAGCAGTGCTGGGAACAGCACTGAAAAACACCTCCAAAGCCAAAGGTCCCACTGATAAACACTGGAAAGAAAATCAAACAACATGCTATGTGGGTCACTAACTTACAAGCTAGCCCCCTGCAAAATACTAGTGATAATCCTGAGAATCTAAAAAGTAGCTAAAAACAAAACTATACCACAGCCGTGGTAGATTTATATTCTGTGAACTTGTTCCTTTAAGAATATAGTCATTGAATTACGTAAAGGACCTCCCTGCTCATCTGGGGGTTAAGTGTCAGCACTATAGCCTGAGTTCGGTCCCCAGCCAGGGAGCTGACCCACATATGGCTCAGCAGACCTCTCCTGTCTCACCCGCTGCTCCCCTCAGCAGTGTATTACAGTAAATCTACCTGTTCTTCTCCCCACTCTGGTGAATCCTCTCATACACACACCACACCACACCACCCCCCGCCATGCCTCTGGATTACACCCCGTTCTTCTATGCAAAACCAAAACAAAATAATAATTTCATATATATATATATATATATATATAACGCAGGGTGTTCAGGGACAAAGCATCATGTATTAGTTTTCTATTGCCAAGCAATAATGCACCACAAATGCAGCAGTTTTAAATCAACACTCATTTATTAGCTCACAGTTCGGAGGGCAAAAGTCCAAGCACAAGTCATGGGTTCCATGCCCAGGTGCTGGTAGGGATGTGTTCCTGTCTGGAGGGGAAGGAAAAGAATCTGCTTCCAGTTCCCTGCATAGTGCGGGTATGAGGTCCCCACTTTCTGGCTGGCTAGCTGGCTGTCAGGGGTCACCCTCTGCTCAAGATGCCTCATCATGTGGTCCCCTCTATCTTCAAAGTCAGCAACAGTGCATGGCCCCCTTTTCCTGCCTTCTCTGATTTGCTCTATTTTTAAAGGCTCGTGTAATTAGATTAGGCCCTCCTGTTTGCTGTCACCTGTGTATGCAACATATTTATGTGAGTATAGGTATGAACACATAGAAGATCAACAAGACAGAACATAATTGTGAGAATTTCATCTTATCTATAGTTTCCAAGGATGACAGTGAGGGCTTGGGGACCACATTCAGAATTCTGCCTATTGCACTTCACACAACTGAGTTGTGTACTGAGTACTTCAACTGAGTACTTCCCAGGAGAATGCAGGCGGGGTTCTAAACATGTTAATACATCTCCAGGACGATCCAGAAAGGCTCCCTAGAGGATGTCTATAAGGTTGACCTGGGAAAGCAGTCAGATCTTATCAGTGGTTATAAGCAAGTACTGGGGGAGAGGGAACAGTAGCAGAAGAGAAATGGTCAAGAGAGGTAGCTTCCAGATCCAGGAGGATCTGGAACCTCAGAAGGAGGCATTTTCAATGTCAGTCAGAAAGCAGTGGTCTCCAAAGTGGGGGGACCTGCACCCCTCAAGGATTGCCAGATCATTCATTATGAGTGTGGCAAGAAAATATTAGAACTTCATCTATGTATTTTTTTTTATCCCCTTTCTTTAGATTTCTACTTGGTAATGTTTTGTAACATACAAGAGACTTAGACAGTGGTGCATATTATTAGTGACAGTCGCTAAAAATGATCACCTCACAACTTTGCAACTTAAACAGGGATTATTTCTCATCGCACTCCTGAGGGCCAGCAATCTGGGTACAGCTTAGTAGGTTGATTCTGGCTCTGGGTCTCAGGAGGTTGCAGTCAAGATGTCAGTCAGCACTACATTCCTTTAAAGACTTGATTAAGACTGGAGGACAAACTTTCAAGGTGACTCACACGCCTGGCAAGTTGGTACTGTCTGTATGTGGGAGGCCTCAGGTCCTTACCACCTGGGCCTCTCCACAGGCTGCTTGAGTGTCCTCACAACATGCCGGCTAGTGTCCACCAGGGCAAATGATCCAAGAGCACAGAGGGAAGCCATAATTTCTCTTATGACCTGGCCTCAAATATAATGCTCCATTATCGCCACAGCCTCCTAGTGGTTGCATAGGTCAGCCCTACTAGGTGCAGGTGACTAAACAAGGGCCGAGATACCAGGAGGTGAGAATGAGTGGGGCCACCTTAACGACTAACTACCACATGTACAGAATTATAAAGATGTATATATATTTTGGGGTAGACACTCAGAAACAAAACTGCTGGGGCACCTGAACAACTAAGATGAAAGACAGACTGCAGGGCCCTATGAAGTGTTGCAGGCCAGGCAGTAGTGCAGTCAATGGCCTGACCTGGGAGTGGGTGAAGATTCAGGGATGGATCTTTGAGAGTAAGGAGTTCAGTCAGAAAGCTGCTGTGTTGGTCCCAATGAGAAACTGTGAGGCTTGAGGCCAGAGGAGGATCACTTGGGTAGTTTAGTAAAGGAACGGAATGGACCTGGAGACTACTGTGCAGGGGTGAGGGGGGGGGGGCTCTGAGTACACAGGACCAGGAGACACTTGAGTGTGGCCGGGTGTGATGGACCCACCCAGTGACCAAGCACAGTGGGAAGGAAGCAGCTGTTGCCTGTGGGAGAAGCAGAAGAGTGAGCCCAGGACTGCCCATATACCAGCCAGGTAGTGAGGGTGCCCTTCATTCTGGGGACCAGGTGTGCCCAGTGAAAAACTGCCAAGGAACAAGGGGAAAGGACCTCCTCTAGAGTAAGTCAGAAAGAGGGATGTGCTTTGCAGACTGGAGGGGGCCTGAGCAGTTGGTGAACAGAGAAAGGACTGATAAAAAGACATCACAGACACCAAGGAGGAGGATGAGGGCCAGAGGTGCCAAGAAATGATGTTACGGAGCAAAAGACAAGGCAGCAGAAAGAGCCCACAGACCTCTGGCAGAGGCCTGACTTCACATAGCCCTCATGTGGAAAGTGAGATTCACGGCCATCTCTGAGTTATTGTTAGTTAAATGAGAGGAGTGACAAGCACTTAGCACAGTATTCAGCACTTACCAGTGCCCAGCATCGGCTAGCAGTTTTTATTTTTTTAAAAAAGATTTATTTATTTATGCATATAAGCGCTGGGGTGCAGGCCAGAGATGTGGTGGGGTGGGGGGGATGAGAGGACTCACCAGAGACAGAGTGGGGAACAAAACAGGCAGATCCACCAAAATACACTGCTGAAGGGAGCAGTGGGTGAGACAGGAGAGGTCTGTTGCACCACATGGGTCACCCCCCTGACAGGGGATGGAACTCATGCTGCAGGGGCTGCGGATAGCTTCATAGTGCTGAGTTCAACCCCCTTGTGCCACCAGTGAGGCACCTCTATTCTTATTTTCATTAAAACTAGAACTAGACTTCAGGTGTCTCAATGTCTGGAGCAGAAGTGTCTCTCCCCATAACCCAGAGGGTAATTAGCAACTGGGGCAGAGCTGGGGCCCCAGGGTGTTGTTTAAGACAGCCCTGTCCCCTTCGATGGAGGAGACCTGGGTTGAGCAACCTCAGCTCTTGCCCACCCTCTCAGGGTACTTTCAAATTCACATTTGGAGTGGGCCTCGCCCTTGCCCCATACCCACAGGGCTAGGGCTATACCCCATGGCTCTGGGCCGGAGTTAGGTGCCCAGCATCCTTCAAGAAGCCTAAACAAATGGGCAAAGAGGCACAGTGATAATATTCCAAAGAGGGAAGCAGAGTGGCCTGGGGCTGGAATATGATGGCCACTGAGCACCACTTTAAAATGTAAACTGGGGGTGGGCCTCCCTGGTGGCCCAAGGGGTTAAAACACAACCTATGAAGCTACCCACAGCCACTGCAGCTCGAGTTCGATCCCCGACCAGGGAGACACCCACATGCGTGGCAGACATCTCCTGTCTCGCCCGCTGCTCCCCTCAGCAGTGTGTTTCAGTCAGTCTGCCTGTTCTGTTCCCCACTCTGTCTCTGGTGAATCCTCTCACCACCCACCCTCCAATACCTCTGGCCTGTGCCCTGGTTCTTGTATGTATGAATGGGTGGGTATTTGGGAAAAAAAAGTGTCAACTGGGGGGCCTCCCTGGTGGTGCAAGGGGTTGAGCACAGCACTGTGAATATATCCGCACCCTCTGCAGCATGACTTTGATCCCCAGCTGGCCAGGGAGCTACCCACATGCCGCAGCAGACCTCTCCTGTCTCACCCAGTGCCCCTCGGCAGTGTATTTCAGTCCATCTGCCTGTTCTGCTCCCCGCTTTGTCTCTGGTGAATCCTCTCACCCCCCGCAACTCTGGCCTGTACCCCAGCTCTTGTATGCATAAATAAATCAATCTTAAAAAAATAATGTAAACTGATGAATTGATGTTCCTCAACATTCCCTCCAGTAGCCGGACAGAACTTTCCTGCAGGGTGGGCCTGAGGGCCTTATCTCCATAAGGGTCTTTCTCTATCCAGACTCATCCCTCCCCGACGCCACTTGCATCTACCCCAAGCACACCTCCTCAGCCTTGGGATAATGGAGATTGTGGCCCACGACCCTCTCCCCTCCTCTTTCCTATTTGTTAGAGGGTGAAAAATTAATTCCAAATGTTTCCGAGTTTTATTTAACTTTCAAATTTACCAGAAAATGAGAATAGACCAAGAGGCTAAAAGCAATAATTATCGTGTTCTCACGTGCACTGTCTGCCAAGAGCTTTACATGTCTTACCCCTTTATTCCTCACAAGAGCCCAGGGAGGTATTCCCATTCACAGCTAAGGCAGCAAGGGCTCAGAAGGCACTCTCTTTGCCCAGTCAGTCACACCATGACTCTCATCTAAAGCTCCTCACCACTGCCCAACTGGCTCTTTGAATAAAATTCAGAGTCCAGCAGCAGGCCTTGCTTCCTTCTCTGACTCACCTCCTATTTCTCTCCCACCCCACACCCTGCTCCACCTCAGTGACCTTCTGTCCTCTGACATTCCAAACTTCTTCCTACCTTGCCATTCTTCTGTACCCCCACTCTACCTGAGCCCAGTCTTCACCACAGGCCAAATCTCAACTCCAGTGTTTATCCAAGCAGAGACCTCCTAACTAAACTAGCAAGACACAGACCCAGCAGCCATGCTTAGCTTAAAGCACCATCGTTACTTTAAATGATCTATATTCCTTTACTTCCTCAGTCTGCTGTACCCACTGAAGAGACCCCAAGTTCCCAGAGGGTAAGGATGTTGCATTCCCAGCATTTCAAGCACTACCTGGCCAGAGGAAGAGTCAAAGTATTTGTTGAAAGAAAGAGAGGGTGGAGGAAAGCGATTTAAACCCAAATCTGTCTGGGAATCCAGTGCTCTTATCCACTTAAGCACAGTCTCCTTAAACGGCCAGGGAAGCACTCCTGACAGATTTGGAAGAATCCATCCCACGCTGCTAACAAGCTTCCCTCTGAGGAGTATGTGGAATGAGATGGGGAGGGAACTTTCTTTTTAACCATATGTATTTCTATATTTATTTGAATCTTTGTAAGATACATACATTACTTTTGTAAATTTAAAAATAATGCATGCAGAATTAGGTGATTTATCCCTTCTCCATGAATTCTCCTTAACCCCTTCGGTCCAGACACATTACCTGCACACACCTTCCTCAGCTCACAGATTTCTCCCTTCAGCCAATGGTAGAAAACAGCACAGCCTCAAACCATCTGCTCCTACGCAGAACCAAGCTAAAAGAAGGATTATTTGAAAGACATCCTCTAAAGCAGTACTCCTCCACCCAGCAAGGCCTCAGAATCTTCTGGAAGGTTTCCTGAAATGCAGACCCCTGGGCGCCACTCCCAGGGTTTGATGGGCTGGGTTCTGATGGATAGAGTGCTGCACAGAAATTTCTGCAGGGTTGACCACGGAGAGGACAGCAGGTGTGAGTGACATGCCTCCGGGATTTCTGCCTCTATCCTTGATCGGTTTGGGCTGTAGCAGCCATCCCTCCCCATAACTGCTGTTCCTTAGTCAGTCTTTGGCATCCAACTCTGAATTTCTGCTGCGGTGGCCCTTCTGCATTGTTCAGGATTTAACCACCACCACTTCCAGCACTCTCTACCTCAGTCTTCCCCTGCAGGGCTCCTGACTCAGAGGAAGAAAGGGGTGGTATCACAGCTGGTGCCAGCAATGGCTCATCTAAGCTGCAGCTGAAGCCTTCAGAGTAAGAGCCTATCAAACACATGAACAGTAGTAGAAGGAAACCTGAGTGGGCCTCCCTGGTAGCGCAGGAGTTGAAGTCTCAGTGCCATCGGGCTATCACCAGCCAGCCAACCAGGCCCTGCAGCATGAGTTCAATCCCTGGCCAGGGAGCACCACAGGTGCACCAACCTCTCTGTCTTGCCCGCTACTCCCCTCAGCAGTGTATTTCAGTCGATCTGCCTGTTCTGCTTCCCACTCTGTCTCAGGTGAATCCTCTGGTGAGAGGACTCCTCTCACCAGAGGATTCACCCCCTGCACCTCTATGCACCCCAGTTCTTGTATGGACAGATAAAGGTAAATCTTTCAAAAGAAAAAAAAAGAAGGAAAGCTGAGAGCCAATGTTCTACATAGTGGCATCTGAGAAGCTTCAGTTAGGACATAAGGTCAGGCAAGTCTGACTCCCTGAAGTACCAAATTATTTTTTCCTTCATATCACAGAATCAGGTAGTAGACCATTCCCGTTTTTGCCCTACCAGGAAGCTCAGAAATCCTCACTGCCACTGCAAGTATTTCTCCTATTTTCATCTTTGGTGTCAAGGTTCTATTTTCTATCTTCATCATTTGCAAAGCTGCTTCAAATCTTTCCTTAAGATCAAATATTTCCTATAGAGATGGAGCATAACGAAATCCAATGTCTAAATATTTACACAGCATACTATCAGCAAACCTCTGTAAAAGGTCATCACCAGGGCCTCTCTGGTGGTACAGGAGTTAAAGTGTCAGCACTATCACCCCCCTGCACCTCTGGCCTACACCCCAGTTTTTGAATGCATAAATAAATAAAACCTTTAAAAAAAAAAAAGGCCATTATCAGATCCTCTCTGTCTAAAACCCCACGAACATAAACAAAGGAAAATTCCTCTGCATTTTCCTTTAGAGATTACTCAGCTTCTCGATAGGACCAAGACAGTCCAGGGGAGTGATCAGGATTGGGCTAAATTCCTAAGTACAGTGCAAATTCTGGCCTCCTCTTTCTGTCAGGGACTTGGACAGAGGCCCCACCCTTCCCATGTCCATTCTTCACTATCAGCCCTGGGTCCTTGTTCTCAGATTCCCTCCAAGGCCCTGTCCTCTCCGGGGTGGGGTGAAGAAGGGTCTGACTTTACCAGGCCCAGCCTTATGTTCCCACCCTGTCTCCCTCCTCACCCAGACCCCAAATAACCAGGCCACACACCGGGTTTCAAGTATCTGTCTCTTCCTTTCACTCTCTCAAAAGAAAAAATAAATAATTGCAGAAGGCGGCAGCATTTCCAGTCTTCCCCTGGCTCCCTGACACCCAACCCCCAACCCCTGCCCCCCACCCCCCTCCCATGTTCCCCACTCCCTAGACCCATCCCTCCCCTTTCCCCAAAAAAATCCCAGGAAAAAAAAAAAAGCCACAGTTAGACCTTCCACTCATGCAAACCAGCAAAGAAAAAAGGTGGGGGGCATGTGGAAGGCAGGGGGCCCAGAATGGAGTCCCCCTACTTATCCCCCCAAAAACCACCTTTGAGAAGAAAAAAATGGAAAAAATAAATGAGAAATCAAGGGACATGGGGAATTATGATGGGGCAGGGGTGACCCCAGACCCTGCCTCAGGAGAGAGCGGAGGCCTGTGGCTCTATATCCCTGCAGCAGGGTGCTCCTTGAGGGGGGCCCTGACTTCTGGAATGTATATGGGAGAAATGGGGGAGGGCAGGTGACCCCCAGTGGGTTTGTGTGTGCGTTGGGGGTGGGCAGAGTCTAGGGGTCCTAAGGAGCAAGGACTCGGGACCAGGAGCCCGGCTCCCCCACCCAGACCTCAGATTCCTGGGGTTCAGCAGCCCAGTTCTGGGGTGTGGGTATACATGCAGAGGAGTGTCCCCCCTCCAATGGACTGGATCCAGTTAGAAAGGAAATAAATAAGAAGGGGTGGGAGGGAGGCAGGGGGCGCAAAGGGCTTGGGCAATTGAGTCCAGACCAAGGGGCCCGGGCGATGGAGGCAGGGCGAGTCCAGGCCAAGCCAGGGCAGGAATCAGAGTCTCTCTCGGGCTGGGACCCAGATGTAGGGGCCTGAGAGGTCCTCGATGACACGCTTCACCTTGTGGTAGATCTCCTCAAAGCTGTCTCCCTCCACGATGGCTGGGGGTGAGGTGGAGCAGGGCGTGAGATCAGATGCCCATTCAGGGGAGTGGCACCAGCCCCAAGGAAGGGGCACCTTTTTCTAATTCTGTAAGCCATGAACCACAGGGCTACACCCACCCACCCAAAGATAGGACAGCTCTTTCCAAATCATCCACCCCGTAGAGGTATCTTTTCTCAACATCAGCAAAGGCGCCTCGTGTGCAATAGATGGGCTCGCTGTGCCTCACCTGAGAAGCACTCTGTGAATTCCTGCTCCAGCTTGGTGGCTCTGTCGAAGGCTTTACGGGCTTGCTCCTCTGTGATCCGCTTATTAATCTCTCTGTGAAGAGTGAGAAAGATGCAGATCTGAGGGCCTTGGGTCCCGTCCTGCCTTTTACCTCCTCTTTTTAAGGATGTTATATCACAACCAGAACTTTCTAATTTGGAACACGTAGCAAAAAATACAATCCCAAATATCTTCTGGGGTCAGGTACCCTTAACCCCCACCTCGTGACCCACCCCAGCCAGGTGTAGCAATTCCAAGGGCCTCTCTGGAACCTCATCCTTCCAGCCTTCAGCTCCAAGTGAAGGGATTCAGACTCTAATTCCCAACAGCCCCAAGGCCCTGGCTTGCCCCAGCAGATGTGTATCCCAAGGGCTGCTAGGAATTGTAGTCCTGCCTACAGCAGAGGAAAAGAGGGACAGGAGAGGAGGGGAAAGGCCCAGCATCCTCTGGGATCTAGCTCTCCTGTGCAGAACCCCTTTGGGGGAGTGCTGAGGGGGGCTACTAGAGCAGCTGTCCAGGGTTCTGAGGGAAAGGTCAATGCAGAGGTCTCCTGAGGCCCATGGCCACAGGTGTGGGGAGCAGAGGGGAGAGCCCCTGGGACCATACTCACAGCACATTCTCCAGGGAGCGGGGGCGGATGAAGATGGCGATAGGGTGCAGGTGGGCCGCCTGCAGCCGCCGCACGGCATTGGCCGAGACGTCGAGGATGCAGTGCTTCCCCTGGGGGCAGGCAGGTTGGGTGGAGGGGGACCAGCAGGTGGTGCAAAGGACAGACAGAAGTGCCAGGACAGGACACAGTACACGGAAAGGTGGGGAATGGAAGGTTGGCCAAAAGGGAAGTGACATGGATGTCAAAGGACACATGTGGAGAGTCAAGGTGAGAAGCGGGTATGAACAGAGTGAAAGACAGAGAGAAAAAGGAAAGGGGCAGAGGGAAAGCAAAGCAGAGGCAAGCACAGGCAGGGATGGAGGAGGAATGAGGAGCAGGAAAGGAGGGGACCCAAAAGATGGGGGCAGAGCAAGGCGAGAGGGACAGTGGAGTGCAGGATGGGGGGAGAAGGCAGGAATAGGACAGGTGGAGCAAGAAAGCAAAGGAAAAGGAGAAGGAAGTAGGATAGAGGGAGGAGGGAGGGGAGGACGGACAGAGGACAGACAGATGGAAGGAACAAGGAGAGACAGATGGGAAGGAGGAGAGGCAGATGGGGAAAAAAAGCCATGGAGAGAGAGGGCAGAGTGGGGGGCAGCAGGGAAAAGGAGGCAGCACAGGAGTGGGAGAGGGGAGTAGAGGCCCCAGGAACAGGAGAGGGGAGCGGGCCAAAGGGGAGTCAGGCAGAAGGGAGGGAGCGAGTTGGAGCAGCCAGACCACCAGAGACAAGGCCACAGGAAGAGAGGAGAAATGGGGCAAGGAGGAGGGAAGGAGAGGAACAGGGGGACAGATGGCGGTGTGGAGTTTGGGGTCAGGAAGCAAGGGAGGGAGGAGTGGGGGCGGGGCACAAGAGCAGGCGGTCAGACAGAGTCGCCCAAGAGGAGAAGGAGGTGGAGGAGGAAGTCGAGACCCAGCAGGGAAAGAGACAGAGAGAAAGAGAGTTAGAGAGAACTAGAGGAAGGCCATGGGGTGGGGAGAAGGGAGAAGGAAAAGGACTGGGGTGCCCGCTGGGTCCTACCTGCTCTGCCACCTCTCGTACGGACTGGACGCTGGTTCCATACAGGTGGCTGTTGTACTGGCCGGCCTCAATGAACTTGTGCGCCTGAATGTCCTTCTCCATTTTCTCCCGGGATGACACAAAGTGGTAATCCCGGCCATCTATCTCATACTCCCGCTTGGGCCGTGTCGTATCTGCCAGGAAGTCACCCCACCCCCCAAAGATCTAACCACCATCCCTCTAGCTTAAAGCCTGCCTACAAACCCTACAGTGCCCATCTGGTCCTCTAGCACAAAGGGGCTGGGGCTGCTGGGGAGACCAAGACTAAGGAGGAGCAGAACCACCTTTCCCAGCACCCTCAGGTTCTCTAGGTCTCTGGAAAGGCTACTGTGGAATATGAGGATGCTGAGAAGCATCCCTTCTCTGTGTCCTCCCACACCCCAATGTCCACAGGCAGTCTTCATACTCAGTGAGCAAGCTCCTCAGCCCATCCCAGTCCACCCCTCCTCCACCTCCACCAAGGCCCCAGCACTCACGGGGAACACAGGATCCAAATTTGTCGGGGAACTCGGAGAGAAGATCATCATTGGCGCGGTCCTTGGTGGGCCCAAGGATGATGATGGGGCGAGCATAGTGCACTGAGGAGAGAGCTGGCTTAGATGGAGAACGGAGTCAAGGAGCAGAAGGGATTAGGGTCAAGGCACAAGCCAGGGCTCACCTTCCATTTGTGTCACTGTCTCGTAGCTCAGAACTGAGTCTTCTCGACCTAGAAGGTAAGACATCTATGAGGAGCTCTGAGACAGGGGGCTCAGAGCCCCGTGATACCTTCCTGTGGATATTAAGAAAAGTTCAAGCCCCTCTCCCCCCAGGTTTTCCCAAACTGACCCTACCTACCCTGTGATCCAGAGCTTGAGCCCCAATCCTAGAAAGGAAGAGCAGGCCATATGGTTGGTTGAGTTCTGTCCCAAAAGTCACCTTCTTTCCCACCCACACTCCCCACCCCTTCTACTTACCTTGGCCTTTAACCTTGACCACTCCCGTCGCTCAACCCTGTGGAAAACATGAAGGGATGGGGACTAGGGGAATGCCTAGTGAGGGTCCCAGGGCAGGTGATAACCCCATCTCCCAGCAGCCCCTGCAATGTGTGTCCCAAAAGCTCACAGGAATCATGATGCCTGGGAGGGCCCAGCAGACAGACCCCAAGTAGTCAGAAGACAGACCCATGCCCTGTTGGCTGCCCACCATGAGAACCCTGGGAACTTAGGTGCCTGTGGCAGGAAGGCTGCAATTCCTGGGAGCCTCACCGTCGTTTGCTGGGGATAAAGCCAATGTCATCGGTTTCACTGTCAGAGTGGACTCGCCGCGCCTGCCACCACTCCTCATCACTGGCATCGATTACGTGCAGCACATCCCCAAAGCGGAAGCTCAGGGCCTGGCTCAGGAAGCCGCAATCCTTGGTCTTGTCGTAATCGAACAGGGCCCTGCAGGACAGGTGGTCGTGGGTCAGAGCTTGGCTGAGAACTCCAGAAAGGACACATTGGCCACCCTGAGACCCATTCTGAATGTTCTGGGCAAAGAGTCTACAGCAAAGAACAGGTTGCTGATGGTTCTCCCACAGGTGCTGTGGAGTCTGAGGAACCCAAAAACTAGGAGAATCAAAAGCTCCACTGTCACTCTCAATCATCACAATTAACAGTCATTCAGTCCATGCTATGTCCCTTGACTGGCTGTGGATCTGTGTAATTTCTAAAGTGAAAGCTAGAATTTCCGAGAAAGCTGTCCACAATACACACACACACCAGTCACAGGAGTGACTTAGAATCTACCCAACTTCATGAGGGAAAAACAAAGATGGGGCCTCCCCTGGTGGCGCAGCGGTTGAGCCCTGGGCTGCGAAGCTGCCGCAGCCTCTACAGCACCGGTTCGATCCCTGGCCACCTGCGAGGGTCCCACATGGCGCGCAGACCTCTCCTGCCGCCCGCTGCTCCCCTCAGCAGTGTACTTCGGTCCTTCTGCCTGTTCTGTTTCCCGCTCTGGCTCTGGTGAATTCTCTCACCCTCCCGCACTTCTGACTGTACCCAGTGCTTGTATGAATAAATAAATATATCTTTAAAAAAAAAAAAAAAAAAAGAAAAACAAAGATGACTCTTTGCAAAGTCTGATTACCCTTATCAGGATCAAATTCCTGTCAGTCAACTGCAACCCTTACGATCAGGACAGGGAAGGAAGGAACTGAGACAGCAAAGATGGAGGCAGAGTAACACCAGAAAGAAGGGAGAGACTCCAGGACTGTCCAGTGTCACTGGGAAGTCAGAACTGAACAACTTGGGGGGCACACTGGACCCCAGCAAGGAGGGAAGAGTGAGTACATTTCCCAGTCGAGCTGACTGTCTGGATGGTCAATTCAGCAAGAGAGAAAACACCAGTTCATCAAGACAGAGCACACAAGCACACAGGAAAAAGATGAGCTCAGTTTGGGACATGTTGAATGTGAGATGCCTGTGGGACATCCCAGTGGACATGTCCAGAAAGCAGATGGCCAAACTGCAGGGTTGCACCTCTGGGAGGAGGTCAATCTAGAATTGACAGCTCCATGACATCTGCAGAGCAGAGCAGCAGAGAAAGCCACGTGAGTGGACAGGAGCCCAGAGAAGGTGAAAAGAAAGGGGGCAGCAGAAGCTACAGTGACTACACCTGGGAGAGCGAGAAAGAAGAACTAATGGGAGAAATCTTAAAAACGAAGCAACATCCACAGGAGAAAGACGAAAGAGCTGAGCTCAGTCCCCCTGGACTAAGCTCCACAGAGATGTGCAGGCTGGGGCAATATTCCAGATAGCCTGGAGGACTCTGCTACCCCTGGCACTAACCTCTGAGTTGCTGAATTGTGAGGCAAACTGGAGGTCCTAAGGGAAGTGCCAAGGTGACCAGGGGGCCCTCCCTGGTGGTGCAAGCAGTTAAGATGCAGCACTATGAAGCCACCCGCAGCCACTGCAGTGTGAGTTTGATCCCTGGCCAGGAAGGTGACCCACATGGCACAGCAGACCTCTCCTGTCTCACCTGCTGCTCCCCTCAGCAGTGTATTTCAGTCCATCTGCCTGTTCTGTTCCCCACTCGGTCTCTCGTGAATCCTCTCACCTCCCCCCCTCTCACCTCTGGCCTGTACCTCAGTTTTTGCATGCATAAATATATCTTAGAAAAAAAAGGCAATAGGGTTACTTGAGACAAAGGCTATTTTTCCCTTTGATATGGAATATTGCAAAATACTACAACCTGTGCAGCTGAGTGCACGAACACCAACTCAGCCTCAGACATGGGAGAGGAGCTGGAGACAGGCAGGGTTTAGACGAAGAGCAGGAGCTGGCCTAGGGACATGGGTGGGGAATTCAGAATGAGGAGCCCAGCCCAGGGAGTGTCTGACCTGATGTAGAAACCCCTTTTGGGGTTGCTCCGCAGGGAGGCGGTCCCTGAGCCCAGGCTGCTGTTCATGAGCTGCTCCCGAAGGTCATGGATCTTGGCCTCGAATCGGCTATACTCTGGGGAAGAACAAGAAGGTTCTTGGGCCCTGGCCCATCCTACTGCTGTCCTCCCTCAGTCAGCATTAAAGCCACAGAGACAGAGTTCTAAGGACCATTATAGCCCACAAGTAGGGGGAGCTCAGGCCTGGTACCTTCTGGTTTATACTGAGCAATGATCGTGACCGTCTGACCCGCATTCTTCAGGGCAATGGCAGCCTGTTCATGACTGGCATTGCGGAGGTCAACACCGTTGACCTAGACAGAGGAGAGACTGAGTGGCTGGATATAAGGACCAGGTACCAGCCTACCCAAGAGCTCTGGACTACACCCCAGGAAGGGGGTGATACAGGCAGGGGCTGGCATTCCCTTACCGAGAGGATCTGGTCCCCTTTCCGCAGCTCCCCACTGAGGTCCGCAGGGCCCCCAGCCAGGATAAAGGAGATGAAGATGCCTTCACCATCCTCGCCACCCACGATATTGAAGCCCAGGCCCGTTGAGCCCCGGTGGATGACAATGCGCCTCGGGTCTCGGGGAATGTCTTCCTCCCCCAGCAGGTCCTTGGCCACTGGAGAGTAGCGCCGAGGGGAAGTCGGGGTCATGGCTGTGGGGTAATCAGTGCCCAGGTAGCTGCTGTGACTGATCTCATTGTCCAGGTGTTGGGAATAAGCTGAGGAAAGATATGGGAGAAAGGATGAGATGGACATGCAAGGAAAGAGACAGCACCACTACCCTACCTTCTCCCTAGAGAGAGCCGGACTCAGGTGCAGGGAAAGTTACTCTGCCAGAGATACAAGGGTAGAGTGTTAAGTCAGGTCACATCAATGTTGGGGATCAGGTTCATAGGTGACATCAGGGCTTGACTGTCCTAGGGGATAATGGGTGCGAAGGTTGTTACATGTCCTAGGTGGAACAAAGAACAATCACATTTGGAGGGTTTTCATTTAGTCACTGAGTCTGAAGTCTCTTAATCTGTAAGATTCCTCAACAATTTTTTCCTCTTGACCGTTTGTTGAAAAAATTAGGTCACCTGTGGAATATAATTTTCCACATTCTATTAGGGAAATTCTATCAACAGAGTGTGTGGCAGGGAGAAGGGGGTGCTTCTGGCCCACAACTCTTGGAAATTGGTAATTCATTCTAGAGTTCATCAGATTCAAGTTCAATTTTTTGGTGGGGCCTTCCTGGTGGTACAGGGGTTGAAATCTCAGCGCTATCAAGTTATCGGCAGCCACTGTGGCATGAGTTCGATCCCCAGCCAGGGAGCTAACACACATATGGGGCAGCAGACCTCTCTTGTCTCACCCACTGCTCCCCTCAGCAGTATATTTCAGTCAATCCACCTGTTCTGCTCCCCACTCTGTCTCTGGTGAATCCTCTCACCCAAACACACCCCACACCGCTGGCCTATACCCCAGTATTTGTATGCATAAATGAAAATAAATCTTTAAAAAAAAAAAGAACAGTTGGGCCTCCCTGTTGGCACAAGGGGTTAAGCGCCGCACTGTGAAGCAATTTGCAGCCTCTGCAACACGACTTCAATCCAGAGAGCAACCCAGCAACCCAGGATGGCCAGGGAGCAACCCACATGGCGCAGCAGTCCTCTCCTGACTCGCCCGCTGCTCCCCTCAGCAGTGTACTTCAATCTGCCTGTTCTGTTCCCCACTCTGTCCCTGGTGAATTCTCTCATCCCCCACACCTCTGGCCTGTACCCCAGCTCTTGTATGTATAAATAAATCTTAAAAAAAAAAAAAAAAAAAAAGAACATAGCCTCCCTGGTGGCACCAGGGGTTAAGTTTCAGCACTATCAGGCTATAGGCAGCCACTGCAGCACGAGTTCGATTCCCAGCCAAGGAGCTACCCACACAGCGCAGCAGACCTCTCCTTGTCTCACCCATTGCTCCCCTCAGCAGTGTATTTCAGTACATCTGCCTGTTCTGCTCCCCACTGTGTCTCTGAATCCTCTCACTTGCCCTACACACCTCTGGCCTACACCCCAGCTCTTGTATGCATAAACAAACAAAATAAATCTTTTTTTCTAAATAATGGGTTTTTTTTTTTTTAATTTTTTTAAGTGGGGTACAGGCCAGAGTAGTGGCAGGGTGGGGTGGGGGAGAGATGAGAAGAAACACCAGAGAGAGCAGGGAGCAAAACAGGCAGATGTACCGAAATATACTGCTGAGGGGAGTAGCAGGCGAGACAGGAGAGACCTGCCATGCCATGTGGGTCACTCCCAGGCCACAGACAGCCTCACAGCGCTGTGCTCAACCACCAGTGCCACCAGGGAGGCCCAAACAAAATAAAAAAAAAAAAAAAAAAACCTTCATAGGTGATGCTGCTGGGTACTTTCTACCACATCAAAACAGGATGCAATGTCTGGCTGTCTGTTAGGTAAAATTAATCAGTAGGTTTGGGTATTGACAGCCCAATCTATCCATTATAACATTCCCCATGAGCCTTTCACCTAAGTTTTAGCAACCACTGATTAGCAGCACCTGGCTCTGATATTTCATTGGGGACTACAAAATAATGAGACGTTACTTTTTTTTTTTTTGGAGAGGGAGCACTTTTTAAGGGGAGTTCTTACATAAATTTCCCCTTTTAAGCCATATGGTTAATTTGAAGTGTAGTTTTTACAAGAAAAGGAAGATAATTGCTCAACCCTTTCCCTTTATTTGCCACTTTTCAAAATAAATGGGTTCCCTAGCATCCTCCAAAAGTACCCAATTGTTCTTAAGTATCATGATGATCTCATTGATTTTAACATATTTAATGAGCTTTCACTGAATGGCCAGTAGGAGTCCCTCCTGTGTCTTTAATGTGACCCTAGTAGTTTTGGATATGTTCCAGGCTTTCCAGTATGTTACAAGCTCATCTTGTACATTTTTTGCCCAAGGCTAAGAATCAGCCCTTTCTCCAAGGAGTCAAAGTTCCTTTTGGTAGGTTATGGCATTTAGAAATAATTCCATGTGATTTTATTATGTTTTTAAAGTATGGTTTCATATTTGCTAGGGGTAGTCATGCCTCATTATTCTTTTCCAAAAATTTCTTTGCTATTCTCCCAAATGTATTTTTCCAGTTGAACTTTAAAATCAACCTGCCAAGTTCCGGGAGGGGCAGGGGGAGATTAAAATGCTGATTAGGGCTGCATAAAATATATAGATTAATTTGGAGAGAGTTGAGATGTTTAGCATACTAAGCTTTTCCATCTGGAAACAGGATGTGATTCTCCATTTCTTCCAGTCTTCTTTTGAGTCCTTTAGTATACTTTCATCATTTTCTTCATATATATCTTATACGTTTCTGGTCAAAAAACCAGAAATCTACTTCCAAGAATTCTATAGATTTTTTTTTTTCCTGCCAAAAGAGATCTTTTTACTCTTCTTACACCTATTGCTGAGAAGTTACTAATTCTCGCTATTAATCTTTCATAGCCACATTCTTCACCTTCCAAATTATTTCTAAGTTTTTCAATTGAAATTTCAAGTTCAATTGTCCATCAATTAGATTTTAATCTAGATGGATAAATAAGGATGTTTGTTCTCCTTTCTTATTTATTTTTTAAAAGATTTATTTTATTTACGCATACAAGAACTGGGGTACAGGCCAGAGGTATGGGAGTGAGAGGATTCACCAGCGACAGAGTGGGGAGCAGAACAGGCAGACTGACTGAAATATAGCACTGAGGTGAGCAACGGGCCAGACAGGAGAGGTCTGCTGTGCCATGCAGGTAACTCCCTGGTCAGCTGAGGATCAAACTCCTGCTGCAGAGGCTGCGGATAGCTTCACAGCACTGTGCTCTGCTGTGCTTATTAACTCCTTGCGCCAGCAGGGAGGCCCTCTCCCTTTTTAAATGTAGTATCTATCCATCCTTCTTGCCTTACCACACTGTCTGAAATCTCTAAAGCAGTGACTCCAGAGCCTCCCTGGTGGCACAGGGGTTAAGTCTCAGCGCTATCACGCGATCTCCCATCAACTATCCCTTCAGCCTGAGTTCAAAATCCTGACAGGGAGCCAACAACCCACATGGCACAGCAGACCTCTCCTGTCTCGCCCGCTGCTCCCCTCAGCAGTGTATTTCAGTCAGTCGCCTGTTCTGCTCCCCACTCTGTCTCTGGAAAATCATCTCATTCCCCCCACCACCACTGGCCTACACCCCAGTTCTTGTATGCATAAAAAAATAAAAATAAATCTTAAAAAAAAATAAAGCAGTGACTCTAAATCAAGGTGATTTCGCCTCCGAAGGGACATTTGGCAGTATCTAAAGATATTTTTGGTTGTCATAAGTGGTGCGAAAGGATCTTATTGTCATTTGATAGATAGAGGCCAAGAATGCTGTTAAACATCCTATGCTGCATAGAAATACCCTCTATAAGAAAAAAATCTCAATTCTCGAAATGTCAGTAAGTACAAATGTTCAGAACACCTGCTCTAAAGCAATGTAGAATATCAGCAACCACAGTCATCCTTGCCTACGTCCAAACTTGATGGACATACTGCAAGGACTTTATCATTATGAAATGTTCATTACTGGCTTCTGATAACTAGTCTTCATCATGTTAAGGAAAATTCCTCTGTTGCTAGTTTAGTAAGTTTTAACCCAAAAACAGATGTTGGATTTCTCCAAATGCTTTTCCCAGTCCTATTAGAAATGACCTTAAGGGCCTCCCTGGTGGCACAGGGGGTTAAACACAGCACTGCAAAGCTACTCACAGCTTCTGCAGCACCAGTTCGATTCCCGGGGGGCCAGGGAGCTACCTACATGGCACAGCAGACCTCTCCTGTCTCGCCTGCTGCTCTCCTCAGCAGTGTATTTCAGTCTGCCTGCCTGTTCTGTTCCCCACTCTGTCTCTTGTGAATCCTCTCACTCCCAGCACCTCTGGCCTATACCCCAGTTCTTGTATCATAAATAAATAAATAAATCTTTAAAAAAAAACAAAAACAAAAACCTGTCCTTTTTTAAAAAAAGAAAAAGAAATGATCTTAAGACATCTTTTCTTGGACCTCCCTGGTGGCCTAGGGCTTAAGTCTCAGTGCCATCACCACTATGGCCTGAATTGGATCCCTGATTCCTGGCCAGGGAGTTCACCCACATATGGTGCAGCAGACCTCTCCTGTCTCACCCACTATTCCCCTTAGCCATGTATTGCAGTGAATCAGCCTGTTATGCTCCCCACTGTGTCTCTGGTAAATCCTCTCACCCCCCACCCCACCTCTGGCCTACACTTCAGTTCTTCTACGCAATTCTTTTCTTTTTTATACAGGAATCATATTAAGAGGTTTCCTAGTATCCAGTCACCTTTAGTTTTCTGAAACAAACTCTACTTTGCACCGTTTGCAGCTGCATATGGTTTGCTATTATAGTATAAACTTTTACATCTCTATTCAGAAATAAAAGCAGTCTATACTTTCCCTCTTTCACGTAGTTTTGTGACTATTTGTACTGACCTTATAAAATGAAATATGAAACATCATTTCTTATACTTGGAAAGAACGTAAGATCTGAAAAAATCAGCCATAAAACCATGTGGTCTGGTAAAAACCATACAACCATGCAGGGAAGAGACTATTGACAACCTTTTCTAATTCTTCCATGGTAACTGATTTCCCATCTCTTCTCCAACCACAGAAAATAACAGACATTGTGACTATTTCATGGGGAACAACTGAAGAATGGTCATCAGAGGTGTTACCAGGTTAACTGGGATACATCATGGGGAGCTTTAGGGTTTGGAGGGTTCTCACAGGTTGTGATGTCTGGGGGAGCATAGCTGTCACTCAGGTAGGCATTGCTGGGCTTGGCCACCTTTAGGTAGACAACGTCATATGTGTTCTTCAGGGCTGCCACAGCATCCTCATGCATGACGTCCTCCAGCCCCACACTGTTGACCTAGGGTCAAGGGAAGCAGAGCTCAGACAGAGCCAGAAACAGCCCCACACAGATGCACTGGGGGTGAGGTGAAAGGGAAGTCTGGGCCTGCCCAGGGTCAGTAGGTGAGACTCAAGTGCAAGCTAGAAAACTGATGGAGGTCCTCACCGCCAAGATCTTGTCTCCAATCTGCAACCTCCCATCCTTGTGGGCTGCACCACCTTCAATGATCTTTGTTACATAGATGCTATTATCTCCAGGAATGTGCTGGTTCCCAACACCCCCTGCAATGCTGAAGCCAAGACCTGGAAAGCGATGACAGAGGTGGGTACCTGGGAAATAGGCTTTGGGGCAGAGGACAGTAAGGACAGGAATGTCAACATAAAGGGTTACTACCTTTAGGTCCTTTGATGAGCTTGATTTCCATGAGCTTCTCAGCTGGTGGTTTCCGGCGCATGACATAAAGGCGGACAATGGAGCCTGCTTCCTTGAGGGCTTCCACTGCAGCTGAGTGTGTCACCTCCCGAACGTCCACTTCATTTACAAACAAGATGCTATCGTTGACCCTGGGGGCAGCAAGGTGGGCCTGAGCCAGGAGCTTCCTGCTGCCCTGGCCCTTCTTTTCTAAGGAAACTGAATCCTAACCCCTGTCTCCTCTCCCCACCTGAGACGGCCATCCTGGGCTGCAGCCCCGCCAGGAATGATCTTGGTGATGAAAATGGATGGGTCGTCACCGATGTGTGGGTTGTCAGTGCCACCTGCGATGCTGAAGCCCAGACCTGAGTTACCCTGGGCAGAGAGAAGAGAGGGGCAGCTCCCTCACTGCCCACTCTGGGCAAAGTGAGTAGGAAGGCAAAGGGTTGGGGAGCTGCAGTGAGCAGGAAGGTACAGGGTTAAGGGCTGGCCACCTACAAAACATGGGCACAGAGAGAAGCACAGACAGGGAGCCAAGGAGATACAGGATGGAGAAACCTGCTCACCCTTTCCAAAGTGATCTCCTCGTATTCCATTTCCCCCTCGGTCCCGTTCACCTGCAACTCCAGCACGGACCAGAAACACAGAAACAGTGAGACAGACATTCCGACCAGAGAACCTGCCACATCCTGCTACTAGGACGCAGACCCTCCCTCGCTTCCTCCTTTCTCCAAGGACCCAAAAATCTAAACAACTCACATATCCTGGGGCTTCTAGGGTGTCTGTGTTGACAATCACAGGGGGAGAATTGGCCTGTGAGGGGAAAAAAATGAGAAACTGCCTGAGTCTTGGCTCAAGAGGGACTCTATAAACAAGGGTCCCAATAGCCAGGTTATCCTTCAGTCTCTTAAGCAAGGCTGCTCTACTCCTGGAGCCCCTCAAGGACACAAGCTCAATCATATTACATATATACACATGCACACGTGCACGGACCTAAGTCTGCCCAGCCCAGGCCACCTGCATGTGGTGTATGAGGTGTATGAGAAGCAAGAGAGAGACAGCCAGACGGGGGAGCAGCAGATGGTAAAGAGAGAAGAGGGAGGGGCAGTGGGGGTGGGGACTAGCTTCTCACCGGATGTAACACCACAGGTTGTTATATGCCTCATGTACTACACACATACACCCCAGGGTTTATGCCCACCCGGGTTCTGGGCCCCCTGTGCCTACATACACTCAGATACATTTATAAGTCCCCCCTCAGATTTGCCTCTCACCTTCACACACATTTGCCTTTAATCCTCCCACCACTCCCCGAATCTGGGGTTCCCCCAGAATCAGACCCCTCCTTCCATCTCGCCCACCGACAGCCAATCCGCCCCTTCCTCATGGGACCCTGTTGCCAAGCAACAGTATCTCAGTCCAGCCAAGGCCTGGGGAGACCCACCTCCTGGAGGCCCGGTCGTCAGGACAACGGGGGTGGGGGAAAGGGGAGAGAGGGTAGGCGTGGCCCAAGGGTGACCAGCCTAGTGATCGGCGAGGCCCTCCTCTCGTGCCCTCGGCCCGCCCCCCGTTAGCCTGGCCAAGAGTAGTCCAAGCTGAAGAGGTTTGTGGTAGCAGCGCAAAGCAAAAAAATCTCCCTTCTTCCCTCCCCTGCACCCCTCACACAACGCGGTGCAAAGGACGTCAGGAAAGGGGAGTGGTGAAAGACATCCGGGTTCCATGCCTCTCATTTCCCTGCAGCCCCTTCACTCAGGAAAGGGTTAACGTGGGGCGTGCCCAGGTCCGTGACGTCAGTCGCCTCGTCGCGGCAGGGTCTCTAGACACTGGGGCGGGGCCAGCTTTAGGCCGGTCCTAGGGGCTTCCCCAGTTGCCAAGGCAACCGAAGCCACGTCTCCATGGCAACGAGGGGAGGAAGCCAAGCGCCTCCTTCCGGGGTCCTCAACCTATTACCTCCTTAAATAAATATTTGGAGCCTACGAAGTGCGAGGCACTCATCAAGGATTCCCCAGATTCATTCTCGCTCTCCTATTCCAAAAAGGTCCTCCCCCCAACTGCTCTTTCTCAACACTCGTTACCATTTTCAAGCACTATAACAGACTTCAAGCCCACAAATCTATTAACACCATCCTCCGACCCTTTAAAACTCGGCAAATGCTGTTGTCTCAATAGCCACTGACTGCCAAAACCTCATCCACACCCAGCCTCTCCTCAGTCCCCGCCGGCAGCCGCATCCTGGGCACGCCTTCCCGGGCCCCATCATTCATCCCTCTCTACCCCAGCCCACATCCTCCCTCTACACCTTGTCCAAATTTCCACATCCCACCCTTCAGGTTTCATCTTCCAATGCCAGCCTCTTCTCCACCCACTTCCTTGTGCCTATCCCACCCTCCAGCCCCATTCCTTGGCATTCCTTCCCTTATCCTCCATCCTCTTTTCTGACTCCCCGGGAGATCAACACCACTCTCCCTTACCCCATCTTCAAATCCTCAAGATTCTATCTCCAAATTATAATCCTCCAACTCTCTGCACATCCCCCCGCCCCGCCCATCTCCCCAAAATTGGGACTTCTCCTCTACACCTGCTCAGGTCTCCTCCTGAGCCCTCCCACACCACACCTATAGCCTCCAGCACTCTCTGTCCTCTTCCCTTTGCTTTCTGAAAGTTCAGATTCCAACACTCCCTAACACTGTCCTTACTACCCCTTTTCAAGCTCCCATAGTTGACTGTCCCCCTCCCCAGGTGTTGGAGACCCCTAAGGTATAAAGTGCTAAAGCAAAGAAAGTCTCAAAGACATGACTGGAAGATTGGTCAACATGGGCTGGAAGACTGGCCCATGTCCAGACCGTGATGTCCATCCTGGTATCAGCTAAGTTTAACAGGAAACAGGTATGGTAACAAAGCAACTTGAAAACGCAGAACCTTGGCGGTGAATGTGTGCCAGATTAATGCTGAATACCAAGAGAATAAATCATTGTCTTGTAACTAACCCAAAAGGGAGGGGGGTGCAGCTTGTCTCAATAAAAATGAGTTGCACCCAGCACTCGGGGCGCTTGAGCTTGCAATGAGAACCCTTGTGCCCATGGAGTCCTGCTTCTCTTAAACTCTGTTTTGTATCTGTCATTTCATTGTTTCTAGGTTCTTTCAGATTCCTCTCCTCAACCCTGTACACCGGAGCTGGTTTCTAGCACCCAGGGACTTAAATTAACTCCATCTCTAGTCCTTCTTCCTTCACTCCTTGCAGCCCCCAGAGTATCACAGGAACCCTGCACTATCTCCCCAACTCAAGGGCCTCACCTTCCTTCCTCTCAACCAGCTCAACCTGCTGCCCAGATTTCAGACTCATGGTTGTCTGCCCACTGCCCCAGGACCTCTCACCTTCTGTTCTCTGTTTTGCCAGAGAATAGTTCTGCTATCCCCCTCGCCTCTCCTGCCACCTCCTTCTCACCCCAGAACCTGCTGCTGCCCCTCCCTGCCTCCTCATCCCTAGGCTCAGAAAGCTTCTCCCCATCTCTCTGATGAAATGTCAGCAACCTCCCCCTTCCCAGGGCATACCACAAGATCCTGCAGTCCCACCCGACCCACAATGTAACCACAACAGCTTTCCCGGTGTTCTCTATTCCTCCCCATCTTACAGTCCCAGACAAGACTGAGGGGAAAGAAGATGGAAAGTGGACCGAACACTAAAAGGTCTCAAAAACAAGGCCTCCCTAGTCCCAGCGAAGGGAACACATACTATGAGCAGAGGAAGAGGGAAGGGAAAACAGGTGGTAGTAAATAATAACAGGAGGGCAGAGGGGTACAGAAAGAAAGTCTGGTTGAAGGTGAGGGCACAGGAGGATGAGAGAGGGGGAGGCCTGGGAGGAAAGAAAAGACTTGATGAATAGGGAAGGGGTAACTGGGTGAGGAAGAGCAGGCAGGAGGAGGATGATGAGGGCTGACCAAAGCTGATCAGGCTGAGGGGAAGAACTGATCAGGCTGCAGAGGGCCTGAGCTGAGGATCAGGGAGAGGGAGGAGAGTGCGTGGGAGGGAGAGAGAGACAGCATCAAGAACTAGCGAGCCAGCCAGCAGGGAGAGAAGGGAGGGGGAGGGAGCACAGGAGGTGAGCAAAGGCCGGGGCAGGGGATGAGGCAGAAAGGCCCCATGAAGTCTCAGGCCAGACAGATGGAAAGGGCTGGAGACTCAGGAACAGGGAGAGCCAGGCCCAGAGGCTGGAAGGGGGGCTGGGGGAGGAGGGGAGGCAGGGCAGGCACAGGAGCAAATGAGGGCAGCAAAAGCTCTGAAGAGAGCTCTGGACGCAGAAAACAACCAGAGGTGGAGGCAGTGAAGGAATGAAGAGGGCCGGGGCCTAGAGAGCATGCTGGGGGAAGGCACTCAGAACACACACACAACCTGCCTTTAGGTTCTACACCCACTCCCACTAGCCTGGCCTCTGCTTCTGCCTCTCTGTGGAACAAGGTATTTCCAGGCACCAAATGGCCCCTCTCCCAAGCCCCAGGCCCCCAATCCCAGCCTCCCCCTCCTACAGCTCTGCAAGCCCTACCGGCCCTTTGGGGTGGTTGTAGCTCCGATGCTCCGAGGGCCGCACTGGGGAGGGGGCCGCCTGAGTCTCCTACCTTGAAGGGGGAGAAGTGGGTGTGGCCCACGACCCCGTGGACGGCCTCGAGGTGGGACAAGTTCCTCTCCGCCACGTGCATCAGCTCGGGGGCGTTTACCTGGTTGGGGAGGTGGGCCGGGCTGTGCTCCAGAGGGGGCGTGTCTTCATCTTGGTAGCGGTATTTCTGGGGATGGGGACAGAGGCGTCACTGGGGCCGCCCAGTGCCTCAGGCTCCAGGCTGCCAGGCCTCCCAGCCGCCTCCTCTTCCCCAGTCAGTGCAGTGCGGCTGGCCCTGGGGCCTGACCAACTCCTCCCCCCTCCCTCTCCTCCAGCCCATTGGTTCCCCTCTCTCCACCTTCCCCACAGCCCCCTCTCCCACCGAGGCCTCAGAACCTCTCACCTCTTTCCAAATCCCCAGCCCTCTCCCCCACCCGCTCCTCTTCACACTCAAGGACTCCCACCTTCTACCCAGCACTCCAGTTTCTTCCGCCCCTTTCCCAGGTCTTCATCTTCAAGTCCCTCCATTCTTTCAGAGCCCCAGACCCCATTCTCTACTCCTTTCATCCTCTTTGCTTCCTTCATCATCTTCTCATGCTTCATCCCACTCCCCAAACTGTAACCTCCCTCTTCCATACTCCAGTTGCTGCTCCAGCTCTAGTTCCATCCCACCTTCACCCCATCTTCGCTGCCTCAATCTCCCCACTGTAGCCTCTACCCTTTGAGTGGCTGTGTCTCTAGCAGCTTGCATGCCCCAGGACCCCAGTCAGGTCCTTCAACTAACAAGCACTTGGCATCAGCCCCACAAGCAGAACAAAGTTAAATCCATGCAGTTCTTCCACTGGCCTCCTTGGCATCTAAGTAGTGGTAAAGGGGCCCCAAGAGTCAGCCCCACACCTACAAATATCCTCAGCCCAGCCAAGCCCAGCCAGCTGATAGGATGTGCTAGAAAGGACTGGGGGAGGAGGAGGGAGGAACAGGGGTGGGAGAGCTCAGGAGGGGGGCAGGAATGGGTGCCTGGCTCCTAGACTGGGGAAGGGGGCAGAATGCTGTCCCAGGGTGAGTTCCTAGCCTCCCTCCAGCCTTTTAGAGTGAATGACCAACACAGCCCCTGGCCCTCTTCCCAACTACCTGCCATTTCAAGGGTTCCCAGACTAGCTTAACAGGAATACCAGTAAATGAGAGAAACTGGGGACCAGAGAGAGGAAAAGGGCAACTGGAGAAGAGTAATGACAGACAGCAACCCCGCCTGGGTCCTCCCACATCTGCCTCTGCCTACACAGAAGCAGAGACTCCCAAACTCCATTCTCAGAGAAAGATGAAGAACAGGGTGGTATGTGATGCAGGGCACCCTTAGGGACTAGAGAAGACAACATACACTCACTCGCCATATACACAGGCAGAAAGAGAAGGGAGGACTTCCCTCTCATAAAAAGTATCTCAGAAGCTGAGAGTTAGTACCCCAACATTTGGAGAGCAACAATTTCAAAATCAAACTGGAGGAAGCTTATCAATTGCTGATACTAGAGTATGATTCTAAAAATTCTGAGAATGATGAACCAATGCTGTGGATATAAGGGTATATATTTGGCTGTAGCTAAGGGTATAAAAAGAGAACAGGAGGGAAATGGTAGTGTGACCATAAAGACCCTCAAGCCCAGGCCACAGAGACAAGGAGAACCAAGGAACACCTTGATATACTTGAAGAGTCTGAAAGAAGGAAAATAGTTGTTCATCTGGATACACTCCATTTCCTGGCCTCCTGGATTCAATGCCAAGAGCAAGAAATGTAGAGACGGGGGAAATATGAGCTAAATAGCCCTCCTCAAAGACTCAGCCCTCTTGAACAACAGGGTTCCAAGAACTGAAAGAGGTTGTTGCTCATTACAAGCCCTGAAAAATTGGTCTTCACCCTGGACAGTGCCCTGGAAGCGGAGGGTCCTGGGAGAGGGGCAGAGGCAGCTCTCCTCTCTCACTTCATAACACTTCAAGTTTTGGAGTCTGAAGGAAGGTTTGAGCCTAATGTCCCTCCATTTTCACCCTACCATAGAGAAATTTCTAAATCTGATGAAGAAATGCCAAGGTGTACATAAATAAAATGAAAGAGTGGAAAGGAACATGTCATCATTTATTCTAGAGGAAATGATGGTAAACTCTCAGTAAGACTGCAGACACCTCTCCCTGCCCCACCCCCTGCCTCACAGGGGGTAGGGAAGTAATAGGACTAAGGAAAGGCTTTCTCAGGAATTTGGGGGAAATGTGAAGGAAATGGGGAACAAGGGAAAAGTACCAAAGTTCCCAGAATCTGGCTGAAGGAAGCAAAGGCCTATATTCAATCCCTGGACATTTTCAAAGTAGAAAGAAAGGAATTTACAAAAAAAAAGTCTGCGGATAGGGAAGAGTAATTCCAAAAGCGCAAACTGGAAGTTGGGTGTCTGGGTCAGCACCTCTCAGTCCCAGATTACAGGGGATTAAAGCCGGATAGGCAGCAACCAACGATCTCCTTTACCCTACTGGGACTCAGGGCCTGACCAGCAACAGTCCAAATGCTATTGGGGAACAAGTCTGAGCCCCATATATTAGAATATAATGCCAGTAAAAAAAAAGGCCTAGGGGTAGGTGTTGTTCCTTCCCCCTTAGGCCCCTCAATGCCGGAGCCCCAGTTGCACAGAATGACCTGGAACCGAGTCTTGCACCCCCAAAACAGAGGGGTGTGAATAAAAGTGGATGATGATAAGAGGGGCGACCCACTGCTCCTGTCCGCAAGACACTGCAACCCAGAGACCCCGCGCCAAGCATAAGGAAGAGCTACAGCACTTGAAGCTTGCACCCTGAGATTTGGGGGGTCCGGGAAAAGGGGAGCGGGACCGGAGCCCATACCGCGGCACGTACCACGCAGAGACACATGGAGGCGAATCTG